GAAAGATGTAACATCACAGGAGAATATTTCGATAGAGGCTCCACATCTGAACAAAAATAGTCATAGGCTACGAAATGTTAGCTGGAGAATTCAGCATAGTAAATGGAGAATTCTACGATCTCCGATGCCTAATGAATACCCTGATACAGGTGTAGAGTTGACTGTGGTTTTCAAACTTTTATGAGAAATGTTTCATGAAGACTGTGTAAATATTTAAATCATGCTTATAATAATATTATTGTCAATGTACTTGGTAAGCTAATAAAAATGACTTAAAAATATATAATTATTTTTAGAAAATCAGTGTAGTCACTCTTAGCTACACAGGCCCTATTTTGATTTTGCTTACAAAAATAAGAATTCATTACAATCACTTGAGAATGAGTGATTGTATGAGAAACCCATTTTGCCGCAGAATCAGATTGAAATTTATTTTTTTGCTCAATTTTTATTTTTGTAGTTTATTTTTGTAAAGTATTTATATCAATGTGTATCATACAAAGAAAAATTAAAATTACACCAAGTATAAAATTGACACATAGATGGAGAAGGAGGCATACAGTAAGGAATATTTTAGTGATTTTTCATATCTTGATTTCTTGTCCAGAGTATTTTTTTGCAAATCTTTTGTACCTCTCTGCTTCTTGTGGGTTTTTCTCAACACCATCACCAATGGCATACATTCTACTAATGTTAGCACAAGCCCATGGATGCATCATGTTACAGCTTTTTTGTGAAAGCTCAAAAGCTTTGGGTAAATCTTTTGGAATTCCATCTTTCCCAGTTAGGTAAATCACACTCAAGTTGAAGCAGCCATTTGGATGTCCTAATTCACAGGACTTAGAAAACATCTCTATAGCTTTATGGATGTCCTTTTGTATTGTTGATCCTTGGATTCCATTTTGATATGTTAATCCTGCATTATTACATGCTCCTGGAGAGCCCTTCTCACATGCTCTGTGAAACAAACTGACTGCCTTCTCAGGATCTTTGTGTTCTGGAAGGAAGGTAATGGAGATTCTGTAAATGATCTAATGGATGCATGGGGCATTTATTTAAATTTAGGGGTACAAGAGGGTACGTTTATTTCAGTGGGGTGTCCAATACAAACTTAACATATTAACAGGGGTGTTTATTTGGCATTTATGTACAAAAGGGTGTCTATTAGATCGTTTACAGTATTGTATTTGACACAGAATCAAGAAGGAAAGGCATCATGCATGATCTAATCAAATTGATCAGTTGTCAATTTCTTGTCTGTGGCAAGAACAAGTTTTTTTTAAAGCATTGTTCAGATAAGAGGGCTCAAAAGTTTTGTTCTGGAACAATAACATTACCTTTTCTTTTGAAACAATATTATGAGTTCCTCTAACCTTAACGTGCCTTATGGAACCTGGCTAAGGCCATCAGTATATTGGTGGAGCATCAGTTTGCCCAGTGCAAGGTCTTATAGTTTTGACTCTTGGCTGAACCAAACCTCACGGCCTCAAATAATCCACAAGCTTGATGAAACCAAAAGCAAACAGCACTTTTACCCCTCCCACACCATTTCTTAACTTGACTCAGTTTAAGTGAAACGTTAGTTGCCTAAAATGTTACATCAAAAATATGATACTGACAAAAAAATTAACATATATTTTCACATAGTCCTGTTCTAACTCAGGTTTGATAAATTATACTGTATAATAGTTAATAATAGTAACCCTACTTTTTTGAGTAAGATAAAGGTTTCCTAACGCAAAGCAACTTTCAGGAAGGTCAAGCTCATAACAAGTGTAGTGGTAAAGTTCCTTTGCTTTCGTTATGTTCCGTTCAACTGACATGTAAAACTCTGCTAGCGTGTGGCAAGCTAAAAAAAAGCAAAAAAAAGGAAAAATGAATAGATCAATACAAACAGACAGATCTTTTGTTTTTGTATTGAGACACTTTCAGGAGGGGGCGAGGTTTGGGTTTACCTCGGTGTAAGAACCAGTGAACTTCTTCTTTGTTTCGCACCTTTTGTTTTTCTGCGTTCTATTGTGTTGACTTCTTTGTTTCCTCTGTTTTACATCACTTGTGAGTTTAACAGGTTCTTACACCGCGGATCAGCCCGAGGTTTTGTAAAATGTACAAAAATTATCTTACACTCTTTTTTCTGAGTTCCATAACACTCATGTTTGTAAATTTCATGGAGTTGTTCGGCATATTCTTCAGCAGCTTTGGAGGCCTTTTCATCAGAAACTAAATTAAACGACATCACCTACAATTGCAAGTTACGAGAAAGAAAATTAGATTCTGTTTTAGAAATCGTGTGCAAAAAAGAGGAAATTGTCGAGGCGTTCCATAACCGTCGCGCCTGGCAATTTGTGATTTAACCACTGGCTCATTTTTCTGCGGGCTCAAAGTGTCAGTATACGCGTGACGTCACGGAGCAGTACATTCTCCCAGTCGTCTGCTATGGAAGAGAGCGCTCGAAGTAAGAATCGAGACTTCCTTGCTCACAAAAATGGGGTGAATAGGTTAAAATCGTAGTATATGATCGAGACGTTCGTCTCCTGTGGTAAGGATGAGTTCAGGCTGGGCTCAGTTCAAGGTTCTTCACAGTTTTGAACCCCGGGATCGAAGAGACATTGCAATTCACGAAGGGGATATAATGATTGTAGCAAGGCCTGTTTTGGATTATTCAGACTGGTTAACCGGAGAAAACACAAGGACTGGCGAGGTAGGGGAGTTTCCAGGAACTTATGTAGAATATATTGGTAATATAGAAGACCTTCCTCAAGAAAAGATCGATACGCCGCCTGTTCCTCCACCTCGACCTCCCAGAATCAGCAAGGTAACTGCTCCAGGTATGTACACAACAAGTTAAGTTGTGACTTCTAACCTGCTGCTCTAACATTGTACTTCATTTTTTTTAAAGAATCTAAAACAATAATTGCTCCTTTGCAATAAAAAGGAAATAAAAACAAGTCTTTCATCGCTCCGATTTTGAGAAAATTATTCAAAACTGCAGCATGTTCAATTTAAAATAAGGTAAAGTTGGGATATTAGAATGATAGCTTCCTTGAAGCATCTGAGCAATTCTTTTCACAGGAAGTTACTGACATCGCACTCAGAGAAGGTCTTTNAACCACTGGCTCATTTTTCTGCGGGCTCAAAGTGTCAGTATACGCGTGACGTCACGGAGCAGTACATTCTCCCAGTCGTCTGCTATGGAAGAGAGCGCTCGAAGTAAGAATCGAGACTTCCTTGCTCACAAAAATGGGGTGAATAGGTTAAAATCGTAGTATATGATCGAGACGTTCGTCTCCTGTGGTAAGGATGAGTTCAGGCTGGGCTCAGTTCAAGGTTCTTCACAGTTTTGAACCCCGGGATCGAAGAGACATTGCAATTCACGAAGGGGATATAATGATTGTAGCAAGGCCTGTTTTGGATTATTCAGACTGGTTAACCGGAGAAAACACAAGGACTGGCGAGGTAGGGGAGTTTCCAGGAACTTATGTAGAATATATTGGTAATATAGAAGACCTTCCTCAAGAAAAGATCGATACGCCGCCTGTTCCTCCACCTCGACCTCCCAGAATCAGCAAGGTAACTGCTCCAGGTATGTACACAACAAGTTAAGTTGTGACTTCTAACCTGCTGCTCTAACATTGTACTTCATTTTTTTTAAAGAATCTAAAACAATAATTGCTCCTTTGCAATAAAAAGGAAATAAAAACAAGTCTTTCATCGCTCCGATTTTGAGAAAATTATTCAAAACTGCAGCATGTTCAATTTAAAATAAGGTAAAGTTGGGATATTAGAATGATAGCTTCCTTGAAGCATCTGAGCAATTCTTTTCACAGGAAGTTACTGACATCGCACTCAGAGAAGGTCTTTGTTTTCTTGAATTGCCTTTGTTCTGTTATTTACAATCTTTGGTGTTTTTAAGGGTTATTAAAACGTAGCAATTGAACAGGGTTTTTTAATATTATGCATGGATTTATATATTAATTTTGTTAGCATACTTTTACATAATCTAAATTCTGTGCATATAATACACATGCTATGCTGGGTTCACACTCATCCTCCAAGATGTTTCTGAGTGTATATGATTAAAATAATGCCTTTCAAATTAGTGTTAAATGAATGTAGTGTACAGCTGTAAGCTTTGGCAATGATTTTGAACATTATTAAAGATGATTATAACAGTTCAAGACTTCTTACTACATAGAGCAGATCAGAAGTGATGGCATTTTGTGTATCAATCAATTTTTGCAGTTCTCTCGCAGCACTCAGTGGCCCATGGTGACGTACTTTTTATACCTTTATTCCGGGAACCTTAAATTCATACACTGTAAAAATTAATAAATAAATCTGCTAAGAACTGTCTGGGCTCCCTATAGATTGTCATAGATCACAGCCTTTGTTAAGCTTTATGTAGCGGCATCAGCTCCGGTGTCGGAGAGATCCGTGAAACTAAGAAAAACTAAGCGACTCACAGATTCCACAAGGCTGGGGTTTATTGTGTCAACTTTTACAGCAATCCCATTGTAGGACATGTTGGGGTGAACGCTCTAGTAGGTTCTGTGTTCAACAGCAATAAAGACATTTCTTGACGTGGTTACCTGTCGAAATTTCTGTGAGCCTTAGCACGCTGGGAAAAAAAGTGCTAAATATCGGCCACAAAATGTGTCCAAAGTTTGTTTAAAAATATGCTTGGAATGTTACAATTGTATCTCTTAAATTATAGAAGGTAATGAGTTGAGACTTTCACTTTGTATTTGTCTTAAGTTTTTCTTTCAAATTCTCCATTTTTTGGGTTAGTACTGCGCATGACCAAAAAGCCCATTTTGTGACGTCATCAATTGTGACGTCAATTTGAGATTTCAAATTGGACAAGTTCTTCAATTTTATGTGCACTATATTTCTGCAAAGTATCACACTTTCAGGTTTAATTCTCTTGGAGGAGAAGTGTTTGGGAGTTTTGATTTTTTAATTAGCCACTAGAGGGTCACGTGATTCTTTACCAACAAAACACCTATTCCAAAATTTTCCTGGAGTCAAGTATTGTTGCCTGTATTAATTTCAGTGTCATGCCTGTAAAGGAAAGGAAGTTATAGCCCCAAGAACTGCAAAAATGTTTGTGCCTATCACACCCCCACTCAACCTTTTGGCCCATTTTTACCACCTTTTTTCCCAGCGTGTAGAGAAAACTACGCACGTGTAGCGATATTTAAGCTAAGGTCATGTGACGGCTAGCGGAAAATCATTGTGACGTAAAATGTGGTTACAATAAAGAAAATAGCTAAAAATACAACAAAACTAAACTAAGGCACATGGGTGCCGTTACACGTATGTCCAGTGACCAGCACCTAATTTCTCCTTACATTGTCACTGCTTAATTTAACAGAAAGGTTGTGAAAATAAAAGAAATGATCATCAAAGATAGGGTATGGATGACCATGATAATAAAGAACACTTGTTTATATAAGGAGGTAATGGTGATATTGGAGAGTATTCCATGAGATATCCATGCGCAGATGGGATAAAGCATTTGCAAAGATTGGGTGTAAGAGTTTCACAGTGGTAGACCCAGGTCAATTCAGCAGAGCAGCACTCAGGGTCGTAAAGTAATTTAGGAAAATGTATTGCCTTTCTTTTAGCATCTACAAATGGTTGCACCCTCTAATCTTCTTAGAAAAGGACAATAAACAGTAGGCTCCATTTTGCAACACTTTTGCTGATGTAACTATTGTGGGATGTAGGAGAACCATACTGGCACGCTACAATTCAAAGAGAGTAGAGGCCTTAGACCCTGGTAGCCTTGTCAGCCTTTTGCATGTATTTGTCTAGTACACAGTCATGTGTATGGCTTTGGCAGTTCCCCTTCAGCTTTCATGCTCCCTATTTTGTAAACATGTATAACCACTTTTGTCAAGTGAAAGGTCTGTGATAAAGCATGAGGCACATGTATATAGCTTAGAAACAGTTAGAGGCTCTAGAATTGATTTACTACATTAATTTTTAGTGGATTACAGTGGAACCCTGTTAATACGGTCAACAATGGGCCAAAAAAATTGGCCGTATTAACGGGTGACCAAATTAACGAGCGTTTGGCTGGGCGGCCAAAAAAAGTCGCCCTAATAACGACATGACTATATTACGGAGTTGGTCGTAAGGCGGCGTTCCACTGTATCATCAGAGCCGTAATAATTAGCTTAAAATGTTGTATTCAAGCATTTTTTTAAATGTTTACTGCATCTGTGCTTTTTTTGTAGATGAGCATTCTTTGGCTGAAACTCCTGCAGTAACACCAGCTTGGTGTTATCAGTGTAAGTGTTCATAAAAGGTTTTAAAGTCTTAAAAAAGGACAAACATTTGAAACCTGAACAATCAACTGCACCTTGCACTGACCATGGCAGGATTAGCTCAGTTGGTAGAGTGCTTGACTGCATCAGATTGGGAGGCTTCAGGCTGCATTCCTGGGACTGGACCAATTCTTAGGGTCGTAGAATAACTGAAGGTACTGCAGCCAGCACCTTTATGTGGCTCAGATGACCACGTAAAATGGCAGTCCCTTCTCAAGTAGGGGACATAAAAATAGTGTCTCTAGTTAGCTTTTTTGTAGTAATAACAATAATAATAAAACTTATATAGTGCTGATATCAATATTGCTATTTTCATCAGTGCTTTGCGCTAAATACATTGATGCGTACTTGCAAAAAGTGCCTGTTGGGGAAGCAGTGATAAGGGTTAGGGTTAGAGTTAGGTTTATTCAATTTAAAGTCCCAGTTTTGGCCCCTTTATGTTTTGTCATGATATGTTTTGTCATGGAGCCCTTTAGTTATATTTTACACTCATCTAGGGTGAAGATCGATGGTGAATGCCACTGTAACATACCTTAATGTCTGAGTTTCATTGTTGAGAGACTGTTGTGTCTTATTTTCAGGTGAGGATTTTATTTGGGGAGTTGAAGACAAGGTTTCCAGATGTTTAAGTAAGTTTTATTTTCTATTACAGGCTGGCTGACCACCTGTTGAAAAACATAAAAATTTTGAGATTCTTACAAAAATTAATGTATATTTACATTTGCATGTAACACATTCATTTATCAGGAATGAATATGTTCAGGAACAGCTGAAACTAGGGTGTAAATAGTGTGAGAATACAGTCAACACTTCACGATGCCACAGCTCGTTTCTGCAAAATGTCGAGAAGAAATTCCATACTGATGGCATTTCAATACCCAGATCTGAGTAGTGCTTTTGATTGATTGTGCCACGAGGAAAATTTGCTTCAACCAGACAGAAGTATTACCCAGATCTGGGTAGTAACATGTCATCAGTTTAACATTTCTGTGCTTGTTCCTCAGATCTCAATTTGTGGAGTAATGTTGGCTGTTTCCTCAGGCTAGGATTTAAAGAATTTAACGTTTGTAATAACTTGTGTTTTCATACAGGATGTGATTTGTCATGGCACTGCAAATGTCCAGTGGAACTGTCAAGGTTTCCTTGTAAAGTTCTTAAGAACTTAAGCCAGGAAGATGAGGAGGATGATGATGCCTATATTCATTTTTCCACTGTAAGTTAGCTGTCATTGGAGGAAGGATGTTTTATTTTTTTGGCTGGTGCCACTAAGGGGCAGGATGAAAAAAATCTTATCTTCTGATTCGTTGTCTGAGAGGGAAAGTTGGCCCAAACTTTCCTGCTCAGAATTGCTTACCTTGTTCTTAAACACACACAAAATATAATACATCCTTGTAAATACACCTCATAATACTTCCTGTATTGAAATAGCTGGCCAGATATTGGCCTCATTCTTTGAGGCTAGAAGTTGTCCCAGGCCATAAAAATAAAAAAGAAATGTTCTTGGCAAATCTCCTGCCATCTTGAGTATTTTGAGGTCTTTTTTATCACTGCTCTCTACTACCCTCCTTTTTTAGTTTCTATATCACATCCCTTTCCCTGTCTCAGTGGTTACCCATAGCATTTTATTAGGTTTTATTAGTAACATAAAGCAAACCACTCCTTGATGGGAGCTTTGGCATTGTCACTGAACATTTAAGTAGAGCAGTGGCAGACCATGCCAAGAGCGTGACATAAACAGGGCGCCCACCCTCTTCCCGAAACAAATTATCTCATCAACTTGGCCTTGTGGTCCTTGGTTTTTTGTCTAAGCATAAGAGGAGAGGGTGCCATGGATGGTGTGTGGAACCCCCACACCCCTCCCGTAGATTTGCCACTATAGAGTGCCTACCACTCAGATGGCTATTCTGACCCTAGTGCAGGGAATACACTTGATAACAAATCACATTTCCCCCTACAGGACCCTGAAGAGTGGCAAGTGGATGATGTATTACTGTGGCTAGCTGCGACTAATAATTACTTGTATGCAGAGGTGTTTAGAGAATGTGAAATAACTGGGGCTAAGCTCCGGGAAATGACAGACGTGAAACTTGCTCAGATGAACATTTCAGATAGCACTCACAAACAGTCCCTTTTGCTTGCTATTCAAGAGCTCTTCACTGCACTGTCAGAAACTGTAAGTTTACTACAGCTTTTAACTGTCATATGTTCTCACTGGCACTATCCACAAACAGTGCTTGTAATGCTAATAGAATTTGGGATACTCAGCCCTAGGCAGTAGTAGTGGGGAGCTCCAGGTGGAGAGATAGTTCATCACTGCGGGCAGGTGGTAGGATGCGTAAAGAAGTGTACAAAGCTCCTAAAAGACGGGGCACACTATTAGGAAGAGAAACTGACCTTAAATAAGAAATCATGCTCTCCAATAGGATAGCCCTGGGCTATACATGGCGTGCAAGTGTTACATAATAGAGTTTGAGGCTATTTTATTGCAGAGTTTCCAGGGAGAATGAAAGCTGTGTTTACACTAACAAAAAATTAGCTAGCTAAAGCTTTATGCAGGTAGATATACTTCTGTTGTTATTAGTGCAACTGTTTTCTTTTTGGGAAGAACTGCATCGGCCATCATCTGCTAAAGTTCTGACAAAGTAAGAATGGATCTCATGGCTGGGTTGGATAAATAAAGTTTTACCCTATATTATTTTCTTGCTACCAACAGAGAAAACCAGGAATGTTTGGCAGTCTTCAGCTGGCAAAGCCTGGTTAGTTTGCATTTTGCTTTTATTCAAAATAAAGTTGAATCAAATGAAATCATATATAATCAAGTAAACGAACTTTTATTTCCTGCCTTATTCAGGGGTTGTTATCACTTCTGCGTAGGACTGCCTGAAAGTTTGTTATTCCATTCAATTCCATCCATTCTATCCCATTATCTCACAAAATAAAGTTCAACAACATGGTTTTGGATTGGAAATGTTTTGGCAGTCTACAAGATCAGTTTGTTTGTTGAAGGAATTAATTAACTTCAGGGTTGAAGCTAAAAATACTTTGGATGGAGTTTATACTGCCTTTGTCATGTGGTATGAATGATCACATAGCGATGGTGCCCTATCCACCAGCTGTATGGTAGAGAGTAAGTGTAACTTTGTGTAATCTTAGTGAACTTGAAATCCTGAAATAATTATACCAACCATTACAGTCAAATGGGCAAAACCATGAACACTTGAAATATTCAGGAACGTTTGTTGTGTTAGCCACAAAACCACAAACTAGATGTTAACCTTCTTGCTTGCAGATTGCCTTTTTTCTTGCAAGACAATAACATTCCAGAAATATTTCTGGTGTTCAGTAAGTCACAGCATTCCACTTTATTTCACCAAACCACTTGTACACCTGTGGGCTGGTATGCCTGTGGTATATAAGTCAGGCTTATAGTGGATTGACCACTGATACTTTATTTCTCTTTCACTACTAGGTACAAAAGGTAGTCATTTATTTAAAGAACAATCATTTCGTACACTGCAGTGGTGTGACATGTGCGGCAAGTGTCTGTGGGGACTGTTCCGACAGGGGATGCAGTGTTCGGAATGTGGCTTCCAATGCCACAAGAAGTGTATGTTTGACAGTATTGTTGTGTGTCCAAGGAGACGTTTGAGAAAAAGAAGAGAGAGTGATGCAGAGGGTGAGGATCGTGAACTTACCAACTATCTGCCCTGATCTCAACATTTTGTAAAGCTTTGGTAATAAGAGTCAGATGCACTGACTGCACAGAGCTGCAAACAACAGTCTGTCATTGGACAATGTCTGACCAAAATTGGGCCATGTCCAATACAATTTTAACTGTGATAAGATGCTTGGACAAAATTTAATACCAAAGACTATCACTTTGCTGATGAACAAAATTTTACCTGGAGTGCAGTGACATGCTGCACCAATTGAATTAACATTGCATCGAATAAATGGTAGAAATCAGTCTAACTGGAAATCCTATGTCTACCATTCCCAGATGTACAATGCATTCTTGATTGAGTCCAACAAATTTTTTCTTTTGTCTGTCCAAAATACTGATTTGGCTTGACATATTCAAGTCCATTGGAGAAAGGAAAATAATTTGCAGCTTTGCTATAAATTCCAGAAAAGGCCAAATTTGTACAACGTTCTCATCCTTCGGACAATTTTAATATGTTCTGATATGAGAAAATCTGATACAAGAATTTGATTATCAATGATGGCAGTGATGATGTTGATGATAAGAGAAAAATTGTGATAGAGGTTCAAGTGATTATTTAATTAATTAATTTATTTTTTGCTTCTTTCTATTTCTTTTTAGTCCCTGTTTTTGGAGCAGAACTCGGATTTCAGTTTCGTCCTGCAGAAAGGCCAGCACCAATTGTGGTCATGAAATGTATTCAGGCGCTTGATAAAGGAGGATTACAAACATTGGGAATCCACAGCATTATACCTGCAGGAAGTGAAAAGAATGCACTCAGAACTGCCTTGAATCAAAGTAATAATCATTAATCTGCCAATAGTTTTTGTATTTTTTTGCCAGACCTTTCTTCTTATTACTTTAACAAAACTCGTCTCAGCAATTCTTAGTGTTCTGTCTGTTGCCAAAATCCTGGGGACTGAGCATCAAGTGATCTGAGCCAGCATTACACAGAGCTCTATTATTAGTCCTGGGTTCGAAACTGTATCCGAGCAACAAGCAGCATATGTTCAACAAAGCTCTTATTCAATTGTTATGCCCATACTCTGGCGGGAGGTTGACGTAAGACTTGCATAGTAATTTATAACAAAAGTTATCACGATTTATAGTAATAATTATGTATGACAACTTTTCTGGTTTGTCCAACAGTGACCTTTCTTAAGGGAAAAATATGTGCAGGCCTGAAAATTCTTTTTAAATAATAGTTCTTCTTGTTTTTTTCTTTATTAGGTGCAAAGAATGTGAACATGGAAGATGAAGAATGGAAGAATCCCCATTGTGTTTCATCTGTTCTAAAGATGTATCTAAATGAGCTTCCCACGTGTGTGTTTACTGAAGAAAAATATCTCTCTTTTGTTAAAACTTTTAAAGGTAAAATTAATTTTGGACTCTTTTTATTTGAGGGTGGCATTTATACCAAAATCATATCTTCTAATTTACTGACCACAATAATATTATGGCAAATCGCTTGATTATATTTATACAAAACAGAGGCATGTTTTATGTTTCAATGTCTTGCTTTTTTTTGGTGAGATAGAATTGGAGTTATCTGGCTTGCAATAGTTGAAGGAATCGTTGTTGTTGCCTTTTCTTTTTCTTATGAGGTTAAAGAGTAAAGGGCACACAATCCAAAAGCCCAAAGGCCGAAGGTTATACCAGTTTCCTTAGCATGAAGCATGCTTAGGAGTATTGCTACTCCCCCCTGGATGGAATACTACAGTAGTCCATCCCAGGTTACCCCCCAGCAGTATGTCGCCAGTTCCCATTAATTTTATACACCTGGGTGAAGAAAGACAAGGTGGAGTAAAGTTTCTTGTGTAAGGAAACAACGTAACAGGAGAGGTTTGAACCCCGGAGTTGGAGGTGTTAACCACTCGGCCACTCACGCCTCCACTTTTTCTCACAAATTATCCTCAAAAAAACGCTTTATTCTTCTGATTGGGTGTGGTATTTATTCTAGGGTCATTTTTTATTGTAATTTTGCTTCATCCCGTGGTGTTTAATTAAGTAAAAACAATATTGTTAGAAGATGGTTCATGGATGTATGTTACAATCTTCCATAACAAATTATTGCAATGGTTTACTTCTTTTAAAGATGGAAACAGAGAATCCGTTGGAGCCAGACTGCAAGAACTGGTGGAAAGTCTTCCAGAAGAAAACAAGTCCCTCCTCAAATATATCTTAGAACATTTATACAGGTCAGAAAAGTTACAGTATGTACGCTCTCTATGAAGGCCTCTGTTGCACTTTGCTTTAACCCACAGAGGAGGATCCAGAAAATTCAGAAAGGGGGTGGGGGGTTGGGATACATGGTAGAATTAACAAACATCTCTCAAGTCGTTTTTGTTTTTGAGTTGTTAGGAACAAAAAAGCTAGTAAGTTGCTATTTGTTGAGGTGTTGTGCTTAAAATGCACATTATGGAGCATTTCTTTTAGACAATCCATCTTCAGTTTGAGGTAATCCAATGCTAAGATCAGTCTGCAATCCTTTTGTAGCGTAAAATTGAATTTTTTGATTGAAAGGTCTGTATTAAGTTTGGCTACCTTTAATGCAGAACCATGTTTCTCACGTTTATGAAAGGACTAACGAGTAAAACATATCTTAAGTTGAAATTTAAATGTAAGCAAGGAATTATAATTTATTATCTTAGGAGTTGATTACAAGGTAGCGGATGTGTTTTTTTTTCAGGGTCAGCCAGAATGTTGAGTGGAATGACATGTCATCGATGAAACTAGCTCGGATATTTGCTCCTCTTTTGTTACGACCAGAGCGAAAGAATATAATGTAAGTTAATCCTGTAGTGTTTTTTTGCGTAAACGATTTATTTTGCTCCTTGAGATGCTTGGGACTTACAATCAAAACAAAAGAAATTGAAAACAATGCCTTTGCAAAATTTTGCAGGGACAACAAAGAGTATTGTGGTATTTTTGAAAAAGGCCTATTTAAGAAACAGCCTCCATTCAGGCAACTTGCAACTACCCCATTGAGGATGAGCGCAAAGTTATTCCTTTTTCCAACGAGTTTGTTAACTGAAGCATGTAAATATCTGAGGGTAAAATTCATGTTACTGTCTTACAGGGCATTAATTAAAAACCATGAAGTAACAGTCGAAATAGTTGACCACCTGACGAAAACTGGGGAGTGGACAGAAACAAAACCGCCAGGTAAAATGTTTGGATCCATTTACGGAGATCTAAGATTTAACATGTTCTAGCTTGCGTTCAAGCGGTCGTTCCTCCCTTTTTCTACGTCCATTCGCTTACGTTCGCACTCCAGAAAAAAGAAGAATGAATGAACGCCTGATCGCATACTAAAGCCCCGTACAAATGGGCGCGACATTCTGGCCAAGAACTCCCAACATTGTTGGGAGTTGTTGCGTCCGTTTGCACGTAACTTAAAGTTTGAACAGTTTCAAACTTTACGCAGTAACTCTCAACAACACCCAACGACATGCAACAGGGTGTGCAAAAAGACGAAACATGTAACATCAGATAAAACACTCCTTGTTACCAGCCAGTGATTGGGTATCGGATGACTCACTCCTTCTCGTTTTTTTCTTAATATCACTTCCCAGTGTTTGTATATCAGACGAAACACTCCCTCTCGTGTTTGATATTTTACTTCTCAGTGTTTGGATATCAGATAAAACACTCCTTCTCGTGTTTGATATTTTACCTCTCGGTGTTGAAATGTGAGATAAAACACTCCTTCTCGTGTTTAAAATATCACTCCAGAAAAAAAAAAATTGAAAACCGTATAAACTTATTTTGGCTTGAGCTGTGGCATTCTGTTCGTGCTTAAGTTTCTGCGATCGCTTTGTATTTTTCAGTACCTCCAAGAAGACCTCGATCGGCAGCTGAGCCTTTGGAGAGATTACAAGATTGTCCCTGGTACTGGGGAGACATTAACAAGTGAGAGTCGATTATTATTAACCGTCTTACCACAACGATGGCAACGAGAGCATGAACAATAAAACAGCGATGGGATAAAGGCAAACAAAACAATAACTTTGCATTCTTTAATACTAAAAAGTTTTTTTTTTTTTCATTTTATAGAGAAACAGTCAATGAGAGATTAAAAGACCAGCCCGATGGCACGTTTATTGTTCGAGACTCCAGACGGTATCCTGGCGAATATACTTTGACACTAAGGTAGATTTGCTGTCCTTTATTTGTGCCGTTTTGCCCATCTTTAAGTCTCGTGGAAAAACATCCGCGGAGAGGCACTCTTGTCCATTTTTTGATGTGATTGTGTGACGCTCGGCTCTCAAAAACTTCACTCCATTTCAGACGAAAATACGCCACATAGTATACTTGTTTCCATACCTGGTTTCATAGTGTTAATTAGGGGTTTGCCATACTTAGCAGGTTTCATCGAAGCAGTAAATTATTCTACCTTACCATGGCAAATCACCCATTCCGGTTTTCAAAAAGAATGCAAAATAAAATTAATCGGCTGTTGTTGTTGTTCCCTGCAAACTTTAAAACTCATTTGCGGTCCAGAGTGGCTTACTTTGCTTTTCGAGTGGCCCGTTCCTTTATAGCTAATGATATAGCGGAATACCCTCGGTGGTTTGTAAGTGGCGTGATTATTAAGCGCTCCCTTGCATTTTATAATTCAGTAAGGTCGTTTTACATTTCAGGAAAGGAGGAGTGAACAAGCTTATTCGAATCTTACACAAAGACGGCTACTATGGTTTTTCAGAGCCGTTGACTTTTTCCTCTGTGGTAGAGCTCATAAATTATTACAAAACAAGATCTCTGGCTTCCTACAACCCAAAGTTAGATGTGAAACTCGAGAGTCCACTAAATAAATATGAGGTAAGTCAGTGCTCAAGTAAACTATACTCCGAACAAGTAGTCTGCTGTGATATTTTCGCTCGTTCCACTGGCTCGCTTGGGAGGCAATCCTGAAGCTATGTTCACGCTATAAGAAAAGCTAGAGCGATTTTCGTATGACCTTGAAAAATGGTTTCGGTAAATGTTCGTTATTTGTTTTATCAGTCAACGGATGAAAAGATCAAAACACGGACTCTTCATTTTCGCGCCAAAGAAAACCCTAATATGGAAAAGGTATTGTTCGATTGGCCAATCGTGTTGCAGTATGACGTCAAAGCGAAGTATCGGTTGATTTCTAGAAAGTTCGCGGGCATGAAGTTTTTTCAGCCGAGCGTTCGCTTAACCAACCGAAAGCCACGCTCGTTTGTATCCGTTCGACAAACCAATCAAATCGCTTTATTTCCCTTCGTTTCTTGTTTCTGTTTTGTTCGTGCGTTTTTATTTCAAGGTCATACGAAAACCGCTCACACACAAGTCGTTCACACAGATCGAACATCATGCCGGATCGTGCCGTAGCAGTTGGTCCAGAGGGTTTGGCCGGGTGAACTAAATCCCAGTCCTCACTCCTGAATATGTTTTCCGTCTCAGTGGATTCCACTCCTCACTCCTACTTATTCACTTCCACTACCATCCGTTCACACTTCACCAAAGTGTGGTACAAAACCTATACGTGACTCCCCGCTTTCGAGATCGGCGCGGTGCAGCTTCGCTCCGCAACAGAAGTCGCGCCGAAATGACCGTTTGTATGTGTAAACGGAAGCCGTACCCGGCGTAGTTTTTGTGCCGGTGTAAGAGCTATCCGGTATCATAATGTGAAAATAGGGAACTTTAGCATCGACGACGGCAACGGCAGCGAAAACGTCAGTTTTAAAATGAATTTCCGTTTTTTCAATCTTTGTCGCGTTTATTCCAATTTGCTGAAAATGGCAAGTTGAGGAGAATTTCCCTGGAGTTGATTTCTTGAGGACCGCAGTCAAGTGTAGAGAGAGAAAAAGAGATTCGTCGTCGCTTGTTTACGTCCTCCAAAAAACTTGTAATTAGGCGTCATTTTCACGTCGTAGTCGTGCAAGGACGGTAAAAAAATGTACAAAAAAGAGTGATGCACGTGTAAAGTTGTTGTTTTGCTAATATAAGCCTATTCCTTTTTGACGTCCTCGTTGCTGTCGCCGTCGTCGTTGCTAAAGCTCCCTAGTAATCTGAGTGACTGCCAGCATTCCGCAGTATTTGTAGGTTTAATTTACACATACCACTTTTCATGGCTTGTCACACGACAGTTAATAAAAGTGAAAAGGACTCGAAGCAACGACAAGAATTTACCCTTTTGTTGTCAAATTGTTTGAAAAGTCGATGTTGCCTGCATATTTAAACATTCGAGACGATTTTAACGATTGTTTCATTTCTTATGCCTCGTTTTTTCAAGTAATAATTTCCTCACTTGTCTCATGACACGCGTGCATGATTGGGTGCGTGTCATGAGACACTCGTCTCGCAGAACGCTCTACGATACAAAAGTCTTTGGGAGGAGAAAAGGCGGATTTTGTTGTTGGACGAAAGTCCTACAAGACGAAACTTCCCATCCATGCAGATAAATCAACATGTATAATAAACTCTAGTAACAACAGCAATTTTTGATAAACCATTCCAATATTGCGATGTGAAAGTACTGCTGAAGACTTAAATGATCTCGCCAAAGAAATATTAGACCAATGTTCGAACTTCCTCCGAGGCCTCGGGGAATAATAAAAAAGAAATCGCTTTTAAGTTTTGGGATGAATGATTCATTTCTTTTGTTTTATTTCCTCAATTCTCGGGACCAAGTATCAATTTTAATCTATCAAAATTGGTCTAATTTTAATTGAGCTGGATAAAGAAGCGCGTATCCTTTCGTGACACGCATTACTTGATATTAGAGTCCCGTATAGGGTTGTTCAATACCGTAATCCCGACCCGAAATTTCGAGCAATCCCGTAATCCCGACGGTTATTTTCGGCATCCCAACTCCCGCGATACTTTCAATCCCGAATCTCGCCCGGATTTAGCTTTCAAATCCCGAATCCCGAGGTTCAGTTAAAATAAAGGAAATCCCGGATCCCGAAAAACCCGTTGGGGACCCTATGATATGTCACAGCACGCGAGTTCACGTATTCATCACTAGTTTACTGCAAATCCCATTGAAGGGCAAATATGCCATTCATCAATTTCTTGGTATTTATTGTAACGGAGCCTGCTGGTTACTTTTCGCAGGATGAGGACGAGGAGGTAGGCCAAGGGCCTGGTACTGGAGACGATAAAGATTTTTACATAGAAAAACTCAGACGAGTTCATCAGGAATTTGTTCAGAAATCAGATGACTATGAGAAAATTCATGAGCAATTTGTTCAATCAGAACAGGTTAGTAAGAAGACTCTAAGTACGCAACTTTGTAGTTGTCTCAAATGAATGCTTTGTGACGAATTATGGGCACAAATTTAGGTCTCCTAGCGTACAGTGAAGGCATATTCTGGTGCGCGCGAGTGTGCAATTTTCCTTCTGTAACCGCCATCTTGAACGCCTTTTCGATCAAGGGAGTGGGTGTTAGGCTGAAGAATGAAGTGGGAGAGGGTGGGGGAAGAAAATGTTCTCTTCG